AAGAAGGAAAGAAATGCTTTATAAGGTGCTGAGTTTCTGCAATGGTCCAGTTCATTTAAATGTTGGAATTCTTTTTTATTTTTTTAATGGATTGGAGGTTTCAGTGGGACGGGAGAATCACAAGGAATCAGGTGTTCAGAGGAATGGATTGAGTAGAGGTGAGGAACTAGGATGTTGAAAAGTAAAAAAAAGGAGAGAAGGAGAGGAAGAAAGAGGAAGAAAAAGAGGGAGAGAGATCAGGAATATTGCTTCATTCTAAAAATGGGTATTAATAATGGCTGATCAATATTTTGTGTATTTAAAATGGAGAACTCTATAAATATTTATTGAGTTTACTTGTTCCGGATCTGAGTTGAAGTCCTGGATATCCTTATTAATTTTCTGTCTCGTTGAGTCTAAATCTCGTTATAGGTCTTATGTATCTGGGTATTAAGATCTCTTATTGTTGCATTGATCCTTTTACCACTGTATCTTTGCTGCTTTGAAATCTATTTTATCAAATGTGAGAATTGCAACTCCTGCTTTTTGTTTATTTATTTATTTTTGCTCTCCATTTGGTTGGTAAATTTTTCTCCAAACCTTTGTTCTGAGTCTTTGTGTATCTTTGGATATACTGTTAGGTTTTGGCTGTATCTTTTGATTTAGTCGATTTAAATTTAGGGTTACTGCCATTTGATGTTAACTGGCTATTTTATCCATTCGTTGATGTAAATTCTTCTTTATGTTGATGCTCTTTACTTTTTGGTATATTTTTAGAAAGGCTCATACTGATTGTTCCTTTCTATGTATAATGCTTCTTTCAGAAGTTCTTGTAAAGCTGGCCTGGTGGTAATAAAATCTTTGAGTACTTGCTTGTTCATAAAAGATTTTATTTTTCCTTCAGTTGTGAAGCTTAGTTTGGCAGGATATGAGATTCTAGGCTGAAAGTTCTGTTCTTTACGTATATTGAATATTGGACCCCACTCTCTTCAGGATTGGGTGTTATCTCTAAATATGAGAATTACTATCTTCTAAGTAAAATTAACTCATTCATAGTATAAATACTTTGACTTATTGAAACCAGCATTCTCTATTTTCCACTCTTTCTGGTCATTTCACAGCCTTTGTTTCTTCCTTAAGTCCTATTGGTTGAGATTCCTCTGTTTTTCTTCCTTAGGCCTAAAATTTTAGTGGTCTGGGGGTTTGTACTCTTGATCTATTTTTCTAAGTTTTACCTTATGTTTTTTAATAAACATACTTAAATGTAGGTAATTCTGAACTATTTTAGAGATGACCAGCATCTATATTCCCCACATAACAAAGCGAATCTCAGCATGCTTTAAATTCCATCTGCCTTTTTTTATCCATCCACAACTTATTGTATATTGAAATCAGCTGAGATATTTTAGTTAGAAAATTAATTTTTAAAAACTCAGCACACTTAAAATTGAGAATAATTTTTTTCTGGTTTATTTGTTCACCATTGTTTCTTTTATCTGAATTCTTTCTCTTGGGTTTATTTTTTCCCCTTGCTGTTAATTCGTTTCAAGGAGATCTGCTCATGGTAAATTTTCCAAATCTTTGTATATCAGCAAATCTATTGATTTTACCCTCAAACTTGAATCAGGCTTTGATTGGGTATAGCAATGCAGATTCAACATGAATTATCTCCCTGACATTTGAAAATATTGCTCCATTATCTACTGTATGCATCGCTGCTGCTGAGAAGTCTGTTGTCAACCTGATTCACATCACTTTATGAAAAATTTGTCCACCCATTCCACCATACCTCACTCCAGAATCTTCAGGAATTTTCTTTAGTAGCTTAAGATTTTATCATATAGTGTCTTAGGTAGGTTTACTTATTCATTTATTTATTTTTTACATGACATAAAAGAATATGTTTTAACCTAGTAACTTACCGGATTATTAAATTCTATGAATTTGCTTTCCATTATATGTTTAAATTATTGCTGGGTCCCTTCTGCTATCCAATTCATGTGCTGGTGTTTCTTGTTTCAACAAACCGATTTTTAATACCTTAGATCTCTAGTTATTTGGGCTGTGTTTATTAAGGGCTTCCAAACTGACCTCTAAAAGGCATTCTCATTACATGGAAAAGTTATACAAAACTGAGCTGTTATTGAGATGAGCATATCTGAAACAAATGTGTCTAATTTAATGCATTTAGTTTACACTATGCAAGTGTGTAAAAGGCCTGGGCAATTCATGGTTTTAAGTCCTCAGATGGAGGAAGGGAATGCAGGGAAATGGTAGATCTGGATGAATTTCTGACCATGTTCATCTGTGCTGACCATTCAACGACCCCCTCCTTTTCATACCTTTGAAGTCAAGATACAGCTGGTCATACCTATACAAACCTCTGAGAAAAGTAAATGACAAATCTACAATGGTGATTTTTCATTCACTTGTAAAGAGATTGTGATGCCTCATAAGGCACAAAGATAGCTGGGCTGTATGTAGACTTCCATACGCTCTAACAAAACAAAAGGACTATGTTCACATAGCCAGTTTAATGCACCCACACTCAAACACTCAGTAACTGAACTCACGTTTCCCAGTGGCGTGCAGGGCAGATAAGCCAAGGAGAGCACCCGCAAAGCTTCACTTTTGGAATTCTATGACCTTGGGGTATTTACGTTCTCAACCAAACCATTATGTCACCCTAGGGTTTGCATTTAATACCTAGTGTCATACTGAACTGGTAAATGACTTTGAACTCCTTAAAAAAGCAATGAGCACCAAATAACCAAAGCAATGTGTTAGAAGATGTTATTATTAACTCCCTAGCCATCCTTCAGAGTGTCGGACTCCATCCTCCCAAGGAGCAGGGAGTCTAATATTGGTACAAATTCCCTAGATCTTGACATTTAGTTTCAGGGTTTTAATTGACTCCAGACTCACACATCATGTGTCTCATGAAAGACAACAGTCATCTGCACGATCTCATCACCATCTGCCCCCTAAACTGTCTGAAACTCTGGGGACTCCTAGGGAAAGGTGAAGAGAATTTGTCAATTCATTAGCACCCTATTTTCAGAGGCCCTCTAAAAGGTGCATGTGGCAATATTTGCCTGAGTCTGTGATCAAGTCCCTCAGCAGTCAAGGGCATGTATTCTGCAAAGTTTATTCTAAAAAATAATTTTAAAAGTCCATGTGCTAATAATTCTGGCCTTTGCTACCCTTTCTGGTCAAGGTATTACCCCTCCCCTGGCAAAACAGGAAAAATTGGAAACAAAGCACAGATAGTTGTAGTTTTCTAATATAAAAGAAAGGGAAAGAAATGGATATTAACTTAGCAAATCTAGTGCTTACCACTTGCTTTTACTGGCACAAAAGCCACACACACCTATACACTCACATACCACAGATATAGAAAGATCTAGACATAGACATAGACATAGATTTGTATACACATTTTTTCTTCAATATCATCATTGGAGGTAGATGCAATCCTTTCATTAATAGATGTGCAAACAGGCACAGAGCGAGACAAACCTAAACCCCCCTGTGTTTGTCCCTAACCTTCAGCTAAGAAATCATGCATTCTTAGCTATTATTTTTCCACTTCATGGTTGGAAAAATATTGTTTTGTTCATTCCTATATCCCTCCACCTGGCAGAGTCTGGCAATAGTACATGGTCAATGAAATTTTGTTGACTGAATCAAGAGCAGGCTATAATATGATACAAATACAAGTTATAGTGACAGGCTTCATAGACAGGAGCTCAAATTTTGTTGACCTCTTACTATGTTCCAGAACCTCTGCTAGGCAGAGAGATACAGGGATGAGCAGAACAGATATAGTTCCTGACCAACTAATGGGAGAAGAAATAACTAAGACTATATTATTTCTTGGCTGAAGGATATGGAAGAAAGGAGAAGGTTACCGTGAGGGAGACGATATAGGAGTAAGAGAAGGGATGGGTGGGTGCTATCAAGCCCTGAATTAGATATCAGAGTTTGGGAAATCATGTCTCTCCGGAGGTCTTTCTGACCTGTTGTCATACCGACTACCTTGTATGTTATGCTCAAGATTTTGTTTGCTTTGGGAAACAAATATACACACACATACATCAGATGTTGTATTTCTAGGGTCTGGGGTCACTGGATTTAGCAAATAGAAGCACAGAATTTCCAATTAAATTTGAATTTCATATAAACAATTTTTTTAGTATAAGTCTGTCTTAATATATGAGACAGACTGACACTAAAAAATTATCCTTTGTTTATCTGAAGTCCAAGACTAGTTGGATGTATTTTATTTTGGGAATCATTCAACAATTTTAAAGTGAAATAGAATAAAATGTAACTTTTATTAAAATAGAGATTGCAGGCCTAAGTTTTATTGAGTGCTAATTAGACATGCTAATTTTTGAGAAAGCTAACTTTCAAAGATAAGAGCAGTATCTTGCCAAACTCTTTGTCGTGGTTAACCCATGAAGACTACAGAATACCAAGTCTAGTATCTAACAAGCACTCAGTGTCATGATGGTTGTTTACTTAATTTCATTATTGCCAGTGGTGTTCTCATTAACTGATTCATTACACTAATATCTAGTGAACCTTTCTGTTTTCTAGGCACTGTGCTACAGTTTCTCACATACATCATCTCTCTCAATCATTCCAGCATCATTGTGAGGAAAGCATTAATTTCTTGAGATCACAGATGAGAAAACTGAGGCTGAGTAGTACCACATCTTGCTCAAAGTGAGAGAATCCAGTTTTCAACCTAATTCAAGCCTTGCAATAAATACAAACACAGAGTGTTTGGATTTTTATTTAAAACCTCATAAAGAAAGGAAAATGAATTCAAGATAGCTAATTCTAATTAAGTGTTACTAAATATATCTAGCATATTTTTACAGCAAGGCGCTCTTTGCCCTGTATAGTTGCTTGTAACAGGCCACCCACTTATCTTCTCTGTAGACCTAAAGAAAGCCAGGCAGTAGAAGCAGGGGTAGAATGCTGAAGAAAGAACAAAGGAACTATGACATCAAAATGACACATTGGTTAAAATAAACAGGAGCTAAAGTCAACAGTGCATTCCAGGCCTCAGAGTATGCTCTAGAGTCTCAAGACCAGAAAGAGGATAAACAGGAGGAATAAAAGACAGTTGTCATCCAATGGCATTGCCGTTAGTTGTGGGAAGCAGACACCACCTAGGCATAAATGGACTCCAGTTCTGACACATCCTTTCAGCTCCTTGCCTTCCAGTGTGATATTAGTCCAGCAGCCAAACATGAAAGGACATTAAAGAGGGAAAGACAAAGTCTGTGACGTCCTGAGTCTCTGGACTGGGAGAACGTGTTGCATGGGGTAGGACACAGCTGCAACAGCCTGAAAAGCTGTTTTGGGTAAGTGTGGATAATAAAAATAACAACAAAATCTACATCCCCAGTGTATAATTTCCAAAGCTCCCTGTAGTGTAAGTATGATACTCATAATTATGCTCATTTTGCAGCTGAGGTCCCAGAAGACCTGAGTGGTTAGTTGTGCAACTCCCCCAAATTTTCACAGAGGCACGTCCACAGGAGAGCTGCAGATGGAAGACAGGTACAGAGAGATGCTGGATGTCAGGCCATTCGGTTCAGTCCCCTGCCCAAAGTGTCAGAGGCCTTGTAAAGAACACTTGCATGCATCTGACTGTCTTTATTTTCTGTTCCTTCTCTCCTTATTGCAGAAGAGCCTAGCCAATGTGTTTCTCCACTGATGTACCCAAAGTCCATACTCCTTCCCTTATCCACAGACGTTGTTAATGGTAACTCTCCCAGCACCATCCACTGGGCCTTTGCCATTTGATCATTCCCATGGGCATAGAAACATGTGGCTATATTTACAATCACACACACACACACACACACCCACACCACACCACACATGCACACATGTGCACACACATACATATGCACACAAACACACCACACACACACACACACACGGAGTGGGTGAACCACCTTCTCTGACCCCCTGTCTTCTTCCAGTTCTGCCCTACTTGCCTAGTCCTTTAATATAGAAAAGATGGGTCTCTGAATGGATATAAGATTGGATGGATAGATACATGAGAAAACAAATCTATTAAAGGTTAATTATAGAATCTAAGTAGTGTGTATGTGTGTATCCACTCTGTACTTCTTTCTTTCACATTTATTCTGTGTTTGAAATTTTTCTCAGTAAAAGATTGGGGGAAAGGCTGTATCTATTTCCTCTCACGCTTTTCTTTCTATTCTCCTCAGAAACAACTCCAGTATGTCTTCAATTCCCATTTCTTGTCAAAGTCGCCAATGGCCTTCGTGTTGCTAATGCAGTGTTTCCTCTCCCAACCCTCATACTTGATCTGTGGACAGGCATTTGACACGGGTGGTCACTTCCTTCTTCTCCACTCAACTTCCGGGAGGTCACTCTGTCTTGGTTTCCCTCCCAAATCATGCCCTTACATTCCCCAACATCTAGTCTATAATGAGCCACTGAACTCATTCCCAGATCCCTTTCTATTCACACTCCCATGCTTAGCTCACCCCATCTCATGACTTTCAATGTATCTTTGCAGATTACTTCCAAATATGTACCTTCAACCCAGACCTCTCCCTGAACTCTGAACTCCTATTTCTAACTGTCTATTCTACATCCTCACTTCAAAGTCTAACAGGCATCCCAATTTTAAGATGTCCAAAGTCAAACTCGTGTTTTACCAGCATCTCCAGCCTCACCCAAATCTGCTTATCCACACAGAGACCTCCACGTAAATATGTCCAAGCTGGCCTGCTGAGGGATGGTAGGCCATGGAGAGGAAAACCAAGGCACCCAGAAGGACATTCTGCCAACTGCAAGATGTTTGAATGAGACCATTCTGTCAGCCAGTCACCAGCCACCCAATCAGCTAATAATAGATGCATGCATAGGCTTCAGCGAGATCAGCTGAGTTGTCCCAGGCTAGAAGAACAACCCAGATCACCCACGGAATTATGAGAACAATAAAAGGTTGTTTTCTTAAGCCACTAAGATTTAGGGAGGTTTGTTTAAAAAAAAAAAATTGAAGAGCACCTAAAATATTCCAGAAAGTATGTATAATTTTAAGGTGAAAGGATCACTCTTAAAGAAAGACAATTAGCTAATTCTCTAATGCATGCATTGGGAACTGGACTTGTCATATTTCCTTGAATATTTATGAGGGAATGTATCCCTTATATCTTGAATATAGGCTTTTAAACTGCCCCATTTTCTCGCCCAGGAAACTTCTCATAGTAGGACAGCTTCTTCCAACTATCTTGAAAACTCTTGAGTTTCTTGCACACTCTAAGTTGTTGAGATGTCTGAGTTGATGCATTCCTTTCTTACATACACTGCAGACAAGGAACAGAGACAGATCTACACAAATATGCCCTCTGCTTTCATGTTTAATGCCATGTGATATCTCCTAGATTGTAAATCTGATTAATGTAGTTCATGTGGCTAACACCCCTCTATCATGTATTGATTCACTTTTGAGATTGAATCAAAGTATGCTGAATTATTAAAGAGTTAATTTTTGACTCTGGGTTGGATGCAAATATGTTTTCAAAGTGCACTATATTTCAAAAATTATTCCAGAAACTTCATTAGGAAGTTACTGAAATCTACCAATTTTGGATTTGATCTGTCAGAGTAGCCTGAGGACATAGCAACTACATAGGCCCCAGATCCTGACCCGGAGCAGTTTAAGTTAACAAAATCTTGCTAGTGAATCAGCGGTCTGCTCTGATTGCTAGAGTAAAGTGATCGATTCTTAAGGGCCTAGAAAAAGCTTGAAGATTGGGCTGTGTGCAGTGGCTCACACCTGTAATCCTAGCACTTTGGGAGGCTGAGGCAGGTGGATCATGAGGTCAGGAGTTTAAGACCAGTTTGGCTAACATGGTAAAATCTCATCTCTACTAAAAACACAAAAAATTAGCTGGGCATGGTGGCAAGTGCCTGTAATCCCAGCTACTTGGGAGGCGGAGGCAGGAGAATCTCTTGGACCTGGGAGGCAGAGGTTGTGGTGAGCTGAGATCCTGCCACTGCATTCCAGCCTGGTGACAGAGCAAGCCTCCATCAAAAACAAACAAACAAACAAAAAACCTTGAAGATAGCTACTTTTACTTCTTTTTCCTCTTCCTTCCCTCCTATCACTGTCTGCTAGCATGGAAGGAGCCAGGCCTGTGGGAACTACTGTTTGAACTTCCCCCAGCTAGCCTCAGGTACATGATTCTTGCCTGTGCCCCCAAACTTCCCTGTGTGACACCCGGTTAATCCTTAATGCATGGCACTGCCATTGTAAATTTATCAGCCATCTGCCCTACTAGCCTGGTATTCCTTAAGGTCAAGTACTGAGTCTTATTTACATCTGCACACACCCTATGCCCAGCAAGGGGTTCTGCACAACGTGGGTGCTCCAAATAGGCTTATTGATTGAATGAAATCAACAGCTTCCTGTCTCATTATTGAATATAGATCTCCCCCAAGAAGCTTGTGAACTGATGAAAATTACACAAGTGTTTGTTACTGTCATCATCATCATCATCACTCACTTCATTTCAGTAGCTGTGTTTCCTGGATTTAATTTGTTTCCCCAATCTTCATTATCTAGTTAGCAGTGGGAGGCTGGGCAGAAATCCAGGCCTCCTGCCTCCAAGTCTGTTCATCTTCCCTCATAACATTTTTACCATTAGCCTGATGGAGACCCACAGCAGTCAACATAGCGAGAGCACAGAGAGGATTCTGGGATCGCACAGCCGGGCCATGGCTCCCAAGTAACACATGAGAAGAAAGTTATCACTCAGAAAACAATTACCCTGTCACATGACCAGACACGGTGGCTCACACCTGTAATCCCGGCACTTTGGGAGGCTGAAGCTGACAGATCACTTGAGTTCTGGAGATCAAGACCAGCATGGCCAATATGGCAAAACCCTATCTCTACTAAAAGAAAATACAAAAATTAGCCAGGCATGGTGGCTCATGCCTGTAATCCCAGCTACTCAGGAGGCTGAAGAAACAACTTGAACCTGGGAGGCAGATGTTGCAGGGAGCCAGGGTGGCACTACTGAATTCGAGCCTGGGCAACAGAGCAAGACGGTCTCAAAAAAAAAAAAAATTAATTACCCTGTCCCCTCACTCTGCTCACCACTCTATTTTTTTCCCTGTTTATTATTCTCACAAGAATATTGTGAAGTAGGTAATAATTTTGCAGATGAGGAAACAGTGGCAGTGAATTTTCTAGGGCAAGCAGCGAATCAGTGGCTTGACCACTCAATGCCATTTATGCGAACTCACCACCCTAGATGTCCTAAGGATGTCTCTACATGGCTCAAGAAGGGTTTCTCAAAGCCCTGCTTCTAGGAAAGATGGAAAACATGGTGTCTATTTACAAATCCAACCTTACTGGAGGCTGAGGAAAGAGGAGGCTGGTATTAGGAAAAATAAACAAAAACAGATAAAACAAAATGGCAGGTTTTTAGGACCAAGCAGTCCTTCAAAACAAAGGGGAGACTAAAGTAGACATATTTAGTGAATATGAATCTGCCATTACTTAAATGTTGAAGCCCTTTAACCTGAGAAGGTTAAATATGCTGTGTGTGACTCTACTCCTGGACCCAGCATTTCACAAACACCTGGAGAGTGTAGCTGACATATCTCCTCAGGGTGGCATGGGGCATCCAAATATCGTATGGGATATACTTACACTAAAAAGTTATTTTCCATTTATCTGAAATTACAATGTAACCTAGTATCCTGTATTTTCATGGACTAAATCTGGCAACCCTACACAGGTATCTTTTTGACAGTGAGGACACTCTATGAGAAGATGAGTGCTCCTGTGTCATTGATCAGAACTGAGACCATGTCCATGCTGGCCTCCAGCCAGGGGGTGGAGCCTGCATAGATGACTTGGATCACTGTGGATCATCCCTTTGGGCCTCCTAGGAGAACATGGACACGAGTTAAAATGAAGGGCTTGGGAGACACAGAGCAGGGGATGGGAGTCAGAAAGGCAACCAGCTTCATTACTATCAGTATTACAGGGGCTCCAGAGCTGACACCCTCCTTTGCAATGCATGTATTCTTAGTGCTTGGTCTGACCTTGCTATGGAAAGAGCTGGATACATGAAATGGGATGACCTCCAGCCTTCATTTCTCTTTACTTCTTGGCATGTCCTTCAGCAGCGACTGCTTCTCGTCCCTCACATCTTTCAGGACAATGCCTCAGTGGGCCTGCTGTGGAAGGAAAGCTGCACTGCAGGAGTCAGAAGACATTCTTCTCTGAGTGATGGATCCGGCTCTGGATCATGTATGCCTATGGGCAAGCAAGTTTGGCTTTCAGGCCCTCTCTCAACTCCCCTGCAAAAGGGAGTGCTTCTTGTAAAGAACTTCAAGTCCCCCCTCACTCTGGCTATCTTTTAGCAGAGTCACCTCCTGGCTCTTCCTACCCTAATCGAGCTTTGACATTGCTAAAGTGCCTCTCTCTTTTTTTTTTTAAATCAAAGTTCTAAAAAAAGTTAAATATATCCTGGGCACAGTTAGGTAGGCATTGCTGATAAAAGACGAACAAAGTGTGCTGAGCACACAGTCCAAGAGAAGTGTAAGAGATAGACATACAAACAGCCACGTGCCACTGAGTGTGGGGGCATGCCATTGTAGAATTGTAGAGAATGTACTGGAGGATCTCTGAAAAAGGAGGGAGCAAATTTCTCTATCCCAGGGAACCTGGGAAAAACTCAGAGAGGAGGTGATTCCTGACCTGGGTCCTTAAAGATGCGCAGGGTTTCACCAGTGAGTGAAGAACTTGGTGAGTTAGGGGAGAAAGGGAGGCTCCATGGTGGAGCCTTTCTGCAGGCAGAAAGAAGGTTCCATGGTGGAAACTAATAATGAAGAGAGGTAAAGGGCCTGCTTGCCTAACCATAGGGACAAAAGAGCAGGATGGGCTGAGCACAGTGGCTCACACCTGTAATCCCAGCACTTTGGGAGGCTGAGGTGGGCAGATTACCTGAGGGCAGGAGTTCAAGACTAGCTCGGCCAACATGCTGAAACACATCTCTACTGAAAATATAAAAATTAGCCGGGTGTGGTGGCACATGAACCCAAGAGGCAGAGGTTTCTATGAGACAAGATCCTGTCATTGCACTCCAGTCTGGAAGACAAGAGCAGAAAGAAAAAGAAAGAAAGAAGAAGAAGGAGGAGGAGGAAGAGGAGAGGAAGGAAGGAAGGAAGGAAGGAAGGAAGGAAGGAAGGAAGGAAGGAAGGAAGGAAGGAAGGAAAACAACAACAAAAGGGCAGGATGCATCCAGCGAGTTTTGTGCACACCTAGAAGAAAATTATTTTTAATACATCAATTCTTAAAATGCCTTTGCTGGCAGCATTAATTCACTTTGGTGATGTTGAAGCTTCTTAACGAATAGCATTGCCAGCAATGCATTTCACAGTGATATGACTCAGTATCCTACAATAGTGCTTAAACACAATGAGAATGTGTCAACCCATACACACTTAATTCATTCACAAAGTGGATCCCAGCAGAATGGCCAAGTTCCACAAGCAGCATTCACCCTGCCTTTCCATCTCATAGTGTTTTATAACATCGTCAACCTAACCGAGGTGCCTAGAAGGACAAGTGGTGGTTTTCAGGTTGAAAATCAAGTGTCCATTCCTTCCCACGGGAAGCTGACATCTCATTTTTTAAGGGTGACATGCCATTACAAAGACGCATTGAAAGGTGAAAATTCAAGCACACTCTTAAACATCCTAAGTGGCACACGAGCTAGAAAGAAACTCTCATTAGATGTAATGACTCTTCTACCTTGAAATGCAGGGGAAGGACGTACGCTACAAGAAAATAGAGCACATGTCGGGTAAATCTAAGCATGCTCTCAAAGAGACCAGAACAGACGAGGTTTCATTCACTTCACATCCACAATACAAGTGAAGCCAAAATATGGATCCATAGATGAGCTTCAGTTTAGTTAGGCGCTTTCTCTCAAAAATGACCATGGCACAGTGCAAAAAGTGCCTGCATTGAAGGGAGGGGCATTCTGATTTTTAGC